ACAATTTACAATACGACGTTGCATGTTTTCTGCATATGTTTACATTGTTTATTGTTGATGGAAAGATTTGCTTGCAATTTACATGCATATGCTGCATATTTGCAGTACTATATGCATGGAAGACACGGAACGGTCGAAAAATGCGCTAAACATTTTGGAGTTTTGGGGGTTTCAGGACTAAATAAATAGGGTTAGAATGCACGTCGGGGATTTTCCCACGGTATTTTCCACGACAATGAAATGTTGAATCAACAGGATGGTAACCTCCAAAAACGGAATTATACGCAGACGATATTGCATTTTTTCAAATATTCTGCCAATTTTGATTGATCATGTACTTTTTTTGCTGATCATGAGCAGGTTTTATGGGCAAATACCTGCATATTCTACATATTTAAATTTACAATTTACAATACGATGTTGCATGTTTTCTGCATATTATGACATTGTTTATTGTCAATGGAAAGGTTTGGTCGCAATTTACATGCATATTCTGCATATTTGCAATACATGGAAGAGACGGTCGAAAATGCGTCAAGAATTTTGGAGTTTTAGGGGTTTCAGGACTCAATAAATAGGGATAGAATGCCGTCCCGGATTTTTTAAGGGTTTCAGGACTAAATAAATATGGTTAGAATATGTTAGAATGCCCGTCAGGGATTTTCCCACGATATTCCCCACGACAATGAAATTTTGATTAAACAGGATGGTAATCTCTGAAAACAGCATTATACACACACACATATATATATATATACGCTGTATATACTACATATATGTACATTTACACTCATGTACATACATATCAGATGTGAGTAAACGAGGTGTTCTTGGATCGGCGGATGACGATATTGCATGTTTTCTGCATATTCTGTCAATTTTAGTGGTCATATACTTTTTTGCTGATCATGAGCATGTTTTTGTGGCGAATACCTGCATATTCTACACAGTTATAACACGATATTGCATTTGTTCTGCATATTATGACATTGTTTATTGTTCATGGAAAGATTTGGCTGCAATTTACATGCATATATTCTGCATATTTTCAGTACCATATGCATGGAAGACACAGAACGGTCGAAAAATGCGTCAAACATTTTGGAGTTTTAGGGGTTTCAGGTTATAAATAAATAGGGTTAGAATGCCCGTCGGAGATTTTCCCACGATATTCCCCACGACAATGAAATGTTGATTAAACAGGATGGTAACCTCCGAAAACGGCATTGTACACACATATATGCGCTGTATATATGTACATTTACAATCATGTACATACATATTAGGTGTGAGTAAACGAGGTGTTCTTGGATCGGCGGATGGCGATTCCGATATTGCATTTTTTCTGCATATTATGACATTTTTTCTTGATCATGGGTAGATCTATTATTTTTCATTGGTTTTTCGTTATTTTGACGATGTGTTTCATTATTTTTCATTGTTTTTTCCAATTATTTGGTACAACCGAATGTTATAATGTCACTTTGGTGGAAAGACATGGATTTCAAGAAAAAAACCGTGTACCGCGTGAGAAATCCGGGAGGCATTCTAACCTTATTTATTTAGTCCTGAAACCCCTTTAAAAAAACCGGGACGGCATTCAGTGATTTTTCAGTATTTCGAAGATTTTTTTCATTATTGCTCAGTGTTTTTTATTTTGAAGATGGTTTTCATTGATTTTTCATTATTCTGAAGATGTTGTTCATTATTTTTCAATGATTTTTCATTATTTGCAAGATGTTTTTAATTATTTTTCATTGATTGTTCAATGTGTCTACATGTTTTTCATCATGTTTCATTGATTTTTCAATGTTTTAAAGATGTTTTTCGTTATTTTTCATTGTATTGCTGGGTAGATTTTAACAATTTACATGCGCTGCATATTTGTAATACATGGAAGACACGGGACGGTCGAAAATTCAAAATTTTGGAGTTTTGGGGTCTTCAGGACTACATAAATAGGGTTAGAATGCCGTCCCGGATTTGTTTAGGGGTTTCAGGACTAAATATATAAATAGGGTTAGAATGCCTCCTGAATTTCTCACGCGGTACGCGGGTTTTTTTCTTGACGTCCATGTCTTTCCACCAAAACGTCATTCTAACTTTCAGTCCGTCGGTATAAATAGGGCCAGTTTTGGCCGAAACAGGGCCTTACTAAAAGACTATCTCCCCCGGCGCCCCGAAGTAGGGCCAGTTTTGGCCGAAGCAGGGCCTTACTAAAGACTCTCTGGGGCCCCGGCGCCCCGAAGTAGGGCCAGGTTTTGCCGAAACAGGGCCTTACGAAAAGACTATCTGGGGCCCCGGCGCCCCGAAGTAGGGCCAGTTTTTGCCGAAACAGGGCCTTACTAAAGACTATCTGGAGCCCCAGCGCCGCCTAAATAGGGCCAGTTTTTGCCGAAACAGGGCCTCACTACAGACTGTCTGGCCGGCGCCGGCGGCGCAGTTAGGCAGCAAAGTGTCTTGCAGAGACGGCCTCCCTGAAATATCTTCCTGCCGGACCGGGCCGGCCAAATCAGTACCAAAAAACTAGACGACGGATGGCCCGAGAGCGTAGAGGAGCAGAGTCTTCTTCTGCTGTTAGTATGGCGACACTATATTACAAGACAATATATTAAAGATGTATTACAGGCAGACGAGAAGAGTAGTATCAAGACAATATTATATGGCATCGTATCTTTTCCATCGTATCTTTCAAAAAGTTTTTCACGCACAGAACTTTTTAAAGACAGACGCTTTTGCACACAGACGCTTTTACACACAGACGCTTTTACACACAGACGCTTTTACACACACACACAAAGACTTTTACACACAGAGACTTTTACACACAGACGCTTTTACACACAGAAGTTTTTACACACAGACGCTTTTACACACAGACGCTTTTACACACAGAGGCTTTTACACACAGACGCTTTTCCACACAGAGACTTTTACACACAGACGCTTTTACACACAGAGGGTTTTACACACAGACGCTTTTACACACAGACGCTTTTACACACAAACACTTTTACACACAGAGACTTTTACACACAGACGCTTTTACACACAGAAGCTTTTACACACAGACGCTTTTACACACAGACGCTTTTACACACAGACGCTTTTACACACAAACACTTTTACACGCAAACACTTTTACACACAGAGACGTTTACACCCAGAAGCTTTTACACACAGACGCTTTTACACACAAACACTTTTGCACACAGAGACTTTTACACACAGACATACACAGACGCTTTTACACACAGACGCTTTTACACACAGAGGGTTTTACACACAGAGACTTTTACACACAAACACTTTTACACACAGAAGCTTTTACACACAGACGCTATTACACACAGACGCTTTTACACACAAAAGTTTACACACAAACAGTTTTACACACAAACACTTTTACACAGAGACGCTTTTACACACAGAGGGTTTTACACACAGACGCTTTTACACAGAGACCCTTTTACACACAAACACTTTTACACACAGAGACTTTTACACACAGACGCTTTTACACACAGAAGCTTTTACACACAGACGCTTTTACACACAGACGCTTTTACACACAGACGCTTTTACACGCAAACACTTTTACACACAGAGACGTTTACACCCAGAAGCTTTTACACACAGACGCTTTTACACAAACACTTTTGCACACAGAGACTTTTACACACAGACATACACAGACGCTTTTACACACAGAGGGTTTTACACACAGAGACTTTTACACACAAACACTTTTACACACAAACACTTTTACACACAGAAGCTTTTACACACAGACGCTATTACACACAGACGCTTTTACACGCAAAAGTTTGCACACAAACAGTTTTACACACAAACACTTTTACACAGAGACGCTTTTACACACAGAAGCTTTTACACACAGACGCTATTACACACAGACGCTTTTACACACAGACGCTTTTACACACAGACGCTTTTACACACATCGCAATTTTACTTCAGTTTTTGGCGATCCAACCTCATTTCGTGCGAAAGGGATGTGCGAAAGGGTCGCGCGGGACAAGTTGAAATCGCAATTTTACCTCAGTTTTTGCCGATCGAACCTCATTTCGTGCGAAAGCGTTCACCGGAAACACGAAATCGCAATTTTACCTCAGTTTTTGGCGATCGAACCTCATTTCGTGCGAAACGGTTGCGCCGGACGACTTGAAATCGCAATTTTACCTCAGTTTTTGACGATCGAACCTCATTTCGTGCGAAAGGTTTGCGCGGGACAAGTTGAAATCGCAATTTTACCTCAGTTTTTGACGATCGAACCTCATTTCGTGCGAAAGGGTTGCGCGGGACGACTTGAAATCGCAATTTTACCTCAGTTTTTGGCGATCGAACCTCATTTCGTGCGAAACGGTTGCGCCGGACGACTTGAAATCGCAATTTTACCTCAGTTTTTGGCGATCGAACCTCATTTCGTGCGAAAGGGTTGCGCGGGACAAGTTGAAATCGCAATTTTACCTCAGTTTTTGACGATCGAACCTCATTTCGTGCGAAAGGGTTGCGTTTCGTGCCGTCTCGTTGGCACTGCCCCTGCTCCCGCCTTCAAGAGAGAAATAGAAAAGAAGGAGAGGGCAAGAGGGCAAAAGGGCAAGAGGGCAAGAGGAGAAGATGTGAGGATGAGAAGATGTGAAGATGAGAAGATGTGCAGATGAGAAGATGTGAAGATGAGAAGATGTGAAGATGAGAAGATGAGGAGAAGATGTGAAGAGGAGAAGATGTGAGGATGAGAAGATGAGAAGATGAGAAGATGAGGAGAAGATGTGAAGAGGAGAAAATGTGAGGATGAGAAGATATGAAGATGAGAAGATGAGAAGATGTTTTACAGACTCCCACTATTGGAAGAACCCTGCGCCCAGACGCTCTTGGGAAAAACACTACAGTCAACATAGATCAAAATCATTTCATCTAGAATCTGCTGTCTGGTAATGTATCTATTTTCATGTGTTTTTTCCCGCGAACTGGAGTGCCTTCTTTAGCATCTGGATGAACTCATCAATCAGCTTGTAGGCTTTGGTGGCATTGATGCCATTGTCCTGGGATCGATGGGATCCCATGGGATCCCGCTATGGATCCCTATGGCTGGTTTTTACGTTGACGTTGTGGAAAACCCATGGGGGTTTTAACCCAGCTACAAATGTCTAATGGTTGATTCTCCACATCACATTGCCATGAAAAACGATATTTGTTGCGGAAATATCCCCTTCTTCAGCCCAATGTACATATGATATTCATTGATATTCATACCCTCCGGTAATCAAACATGGCAATTAGACATAATCCATTTGTAGATAATTTTCCCATTAAAACCTCCATCTACAGTGGATTGATCTTTTCACATGTTTTTTCCCATTAAAACCTTCGTTTTCGTCGGGGATTTCCCTGGCACTGCGGGTCCTCCCAAAGATAGCGCCTTTGTCCGTGGATCATGTAGTCCAAGAGCCAACTATTGGTGGCCTCCGAGGCATGCCGTTTTTTCTGGACGGTTTGTTTACATTACATGTTTTGTTTTTTTAAACATGTGCTTTATTTTTTTTAAACCATGTTTCGTACATGTTTTTTTTACAAGGTTAGTTTTTTCATTTGTTTATGACATGTTTCTTTACATGTTGCTTACAGCAGTAAAATTGCGATATTTTGGATGTAAATCCACCAGCAAAAAAATCATTGATCTGGTTGAATTAAGTATTTTGCCAGCCTCAACTAGAGATTCGGATCACATGGCTGCCCTGGTACGAGCTGATCCTGATTTAAGTCTCTCCTTGTATTCCCATTAATCTATTACCCTCTGATAAACATACAAAAAACGATGGAAAATCACCATTTTGAATGGGTAAATCCACTATTTCTATGGCCATTTTCACTAGCTATGTTAGTTTACCAGAGGGTAATTTCCCATGAATAGCTCATCACTATCCATTCATATTCCATATTCTATATCCACTGAGTGTGACATATCCCATTATAAAACACCATATTTTCCCATTAATCATTCAATCCAATTCGAATACCATTTCCATATTCTATCCACTGTTTGAGGATGACATCCCATTAATATCACATTCAGACACATAAAAATATCCCATTCAAACGCCGATTCTTAGACCCCTCCCCATGGTGCAGCCTCCAAGTCCCCGCCATCCCGACCGGGAGGGTTGGCCACAGTGGGGATGGCGTTGAGATCCAAGTGCAACACGTTCCTGGCCGTGAGACACAAGTGCTACTTACTTAAGGGCATAGATGGGTAGTTGTGGAATATTATATATATATATTAATGTTTGTTAAAATTAATATTAAATTAGTATCAATTATTATTACTATTGTTATCATTAATAACATTGCTAATTGTGGAATTGTAGTTACCATATAATTATTTGTGGAACATCAATATATATATGTTAGGAATATATATATATATATGTTACTATTACTAACATATATATATATATCACTAAAACTAACAGATAAACATATATATATAACCCAGTTATTATAATTTCTACTATTACTAACATAACACACACACACATATATATATATATTCGTTATTGCATAATCAAAGATAATATAATCCATAATTATATACATGTGGTTATTGCATATATATATATGATGATGATGATGATATTACTACCGTCAGTATTGTTATTATTTCTGTTTTTATCATTGTCATTATTAGTATATATATAATTATATGTGCATACATATTATCATATTTTATCATATGTATAATACACACACATATATATATACATATACATACTCACAGAATGCAGTGATGTGCTCCTTAAAGTAAATGTTGAAATTATTGAAAACTGCAATTTCAAGTAACAAACACATCCGGCAAACCAGTGCTGGACAGGTCCTGCAGTTTTTGCACAAATCCACGGGAGATCTGAAATGATCCCCCACACCACCCAGCGCCGAAAACGGTGACCGCGTCTTGTACCTGGTAGAGATGAGAATTTCCCCAATATTTTCCAGCTTTGGGGGTGAAAAAAACAAGAGAAAACCTGCAGGAAACCATGGTTTTCCTTGTGAAATATTGTGGGTTTCCGGCATTTTCTTCAGAAATTTCTGGCAAAAATATGGAAGCATCATGGATGATGTTTGAAGATGTACAATGTTGTAACCACCAGGGTTACTAAATTCTATAAAACGGGTTGGACCACTCTCATATAGACTATACTTAGCGTCTGACAATAAAGCAATGGAACATGTTTTGCAATGCCAGGATGACTAGATTGCAAAGTCATGATGACTCAGCAAATCCACTATACTATAATACTGTTTGTAAAGTAAGAATTGATTTTCCATAGTTTGTGACTTCATCGTGCCCAAATAAATCCAGTTTATAACTATTGTTGAGAATAGGATGAGCAACTTTTTTCCTAGAGAATCAACAGTAAATAAACAAGGGGTTTTAATAAATGCTCAACTGATTCTTCACTCACTAAAACAGACCGATTGTGTGGGTCCATACAAGGTAGCTTGCAGTTATTAAGTTACACATCCCATTAACACTTATATTCCTTTCCTAGCTCACCAAGTTTTCATAAGCCAATTTAGTTATATCCTTCCTTTACAAATCCCATGAACTATATAGTGACATCTCCCCCTGATTCACCAAGTTGGAAACCAAGAAATCCATCCAAATCCCACTAATTCGAGTTATATTTCCCCTCCTAGTTCACCAAGTTGTGATAAACCAAGTTAGTTATATCTCCCTTACTTTAATACAGTTATAAGTGACAAATCCCATCAAGTTAGTTATATAAATCTCCCCTTTACGTTCACCAAGGTTCACCTTAAGTTGTCATACGTTCGGTGGTGCCCCCAGTTATAAATTAGTGAAATAAGCCAATTAACAACAAAAACCATAGTGAAATGGATAATTAAGCCCTATAAATTAGTTATAAGCCCTATAAATTAGTTATAATTAACCAGTTCGGTAGATCACCAACAAAAACCAACACGTGAAATTGGAATCATGTGAACCCCAACTGAACGCGAATAAATTGGGCATCACCAAATCATCCATTTATAGATGGACTTTCCCTCATAAACCATCCACAACTTGGGGGTACCCCCCATGACTATGAAAACCCCCAAGACTTCAACGAGGGCCCGTTCCGAGCTCGGCGCACTTCACCATTTGACCAAAGAACTCGGGTCCAAAGGCTCCGTCGTTGCCGTCCTGAGTGGAAAATTCGTTCAGGTGTCCATATATATATATAACCATAGCCATAGATATAACTATTATGGGTAAATTATAAATGGTAATATTATAGCAAATATTATGGCAAAACATAGCAAATAAATTGTAATAATATATATATAATAAAACCATAGCCATAGCCATTCATTGTCCAATTAGCTTGAAGGTTATAGGACAATTATATATGTTGCTAATTTAACTATGGGAACCTATTCTTAGCCATCTTGCAAATACAACTACAGGATATATAACCATAGCCATAAATATAACTATGGGTAAATTATAAATGGTTATAGCCAATAGCACATATACATGGCTAATAAATAACTATAGGTAAATTATATCTGGTTGGTGGTAGACCTACCCCTCTGAAAAAAAAAATAATCAGTTGGGATGATGATTCCCAATGTAAGGAAAGTCATAAAATTCATGTTCCAAACCACCAACCAGTACATTTTGGCAAATATAACTATGGGTAAATTAAAAATTGTTAAAACTAGTTAGTTATAGTACCACACAGCCTCGATGGTACTAAACCAATATGCAACCACAGCACGGCGCAAACTTCTTTTCACAGCGCTTGAGCCAAACATACAAGGTGCGAAAGCAAAATGAGACAATGCAACATGACACGTATGAGCTATATATGAGAAGGGCTGGATTCCCTGTGATTTCTCAACTCCCCCCTCGAGTAAAGTGTCATGTGCAACTACAATTGGGGTAGGTACACACAGTACCACACGATTTCACCATGCCAATACTCGCCTTTTGTCACTTTGGACATTGCGGCGCATGCACAAATTTTGTGTACTTTGGAGTCATGGTCTCGCCATCAAGTCTGATGAACGCACCTTTGTTTCCTCTTTGGCCACAGTAGTTTGGAGCTGAGAAGACAGTGATCAGTGTTCCACTGTGCTCCACGCTAAAGCCTTCCTCCTTAAATTCGTGGCTGCGAATCACCATCTTCAAACCATTCACCTTCAAGAAGTGTTCGGTCACATCTGGCCCAAAGGCCACCCCGACTCTTCTCTTAATTGGAAGGAGCCCTGCCTGGATCCGGCTGAGGATCATTCCAAAGCATTTCGGTCATGAGACCTTCGCAATTTTGGTGGCTCACAATCTCGGTTCACCTTTCGGATGTCATCCAACGTGACGTTGTCATGGGAGAATAGGCCCCCATGCACCACGAAGACCTGCTGGTTGATGACGTGGCAAAGAGGCAACAAACAGAAGGCTTCACAAAAGAGGTCGTACATGGCTTCACCATTCTTGCTGATGACCTCCTGTTTGAAGCCGTAGCGTGAGGTCATGTTCCTTGTTTCATGATTGCCGCGCGCCGGGCGCATGTGGTTTGGAAACGCTAGTTTCCATGCAAAAAGTGTCAAGATCACTTCCACGGAAAACGATCCTCGGTCAACAAAGTCTCCATTGAACAGGTAGGGGTTCTCCTGGAAGGGCACTCCATTCAGGGAGAAAATGTTGAGCAAATCATAGAATGAGCGTGGATGTCTCCGCAGACAGTGACTTCACCCTTCTCGGGAACGTCAATGTCTACCAAGGTACTCGACTCTTTCAGCATCTCGGTCATGTCCAACACAATCTGGTTGGCAAACTTTTTATCAATTCGCGTTTTCTCTGATGTTCCATGAGTTGCTGGCAACAGTCATTCGTGCACCTCCCTGAAGGGTACACCGGTCCCCTGTAGTCCGGATCCACCTCCATCTTTTCGACTGTGCTCTTGGCCTCGGCGCAGGACATTTGAGACAATTGAGATGAGAGAATCAGAGAAAATGGCTGGGACATTTGGAGTTCCTACGGAGTTCCGACGGGGTTTTTGCCGTTCGTATCGTTCATGGATATGTTTAACAAAGGTGTGACTTTTATTGGGGCGGCAGAACAGTGCATCGCTCGGAATTGCTCGGAGACGATACAGAGCTCTCAGCCTGAGGGTTTCACCCATCCATTTCATACTATCGACCTGGAGGGTTTCAGAAGGGTTCAGCGGCCAGCAATCCGAAACCGACAGTCAAAAGGGGGCACAGCACCATGACATGTGACAGATCTTTAAAGCAAACAGGTCGCTCACCGTGGCGGCATCTTTTTCTTGGAGGCATGCAGGCCTAGAAGCAATCCAACTGCATTAAGCCCATCCCTTGGACAACGCAGTGTGACAGTTTGACTGACACTGTTGCTACAGCATAGCTACTGCTAAACCCTCAGCATAGCTGTGTACAGCTTCCCAGGCTCATGAAATTAGGAGTGAAACTTTGATGAACGTCGAAGATGAGCAGCTGATGCCCCAAGCCCAAGTACAGTAGTACACTGTCATGCACTCGCCCGCCAGGCATCATGCACTCCCATTGGCGCTTGACTTGACTCGGCCACCAATCTCTTCAATCCCTTCACGGTGTCCCTGCTTTCTCCGCTTCGCCGTCCAATTTTGAAACCTCTGCGTCTTCTTGTTCTCGGCATCCTGGTGGGCCGTGCGAACAAGGTCAGGGATGTCGGGGATGGTCGCAAGCTTTGCTCTCAACGAGGATCTTGCTACATTCTTTCTCGATCCAGTCGCTGACTCGCTCCAATCGCTTGATGTTGCTGTTGCCCTGGCGATCCACCCAGATCTGGATCCAGGTCCTGCTCGGTCTATGCTCAGCTTAATCAGCCCCTTTTGCGACAACCGGTTAAGATCATCCTCAGTAACTTCAAAAACATCCATTGCGGCAGTTCCGGATCGTCTATGTTCCGAAGGAATCAAACAAATACAAATACAAATGCATACAAATACGACATTCCCAATACAGTACACCCAAATTCTTGCACGTCTGAATCCGCCATGCTAGGAGACAGCGTACATTTAGAAAACACTACTCTGAACCGGGTCAAATGCAAGAAAAACTAAACCATTCATGTTCCCCTGGCTGTCTGCCTGGTGAACCAAGACGGCAGTCGGCACGCACCCTAGTGGCTTGTCAATGATGTAATGATGGTCCGATGGTTAGCACTTCTTCCCATGCTCACCTGACCTAGGCGTCCGGTGTCGCTGAGTTCCATGCTTTCGCCAAATACCACTGTCTGGAGCGCTGTTCCTGAGTGTCCTGGATCAGCTTGAAGTGGCACTGTGGGCCCACCAAAACCTGTCTTTGCACTACAGGAACACAACCCCAGCTCTCCTGCGTCTCCTGTCTTGGTCTCATTTTCCCTTCCTCTGCGTTCTTCTTCACTTCGAGGTCGTAGGTTCCATCCTTTGTGGCACTATGTGACACCCAAAAGCTTGTGGGTAAAGTTCCACCTCTCCATTCTGATCAAATACGTTGAAATACATTCAGAAGTTCCTTCAAGTCCGATCCGCATCACAAGTCGTATTCCCGTCCTCATGCAGCTTTTGCACTGTGCAAGGCATCCAACGTTGATAGGAGTCGCCTTTGCACGAATCATTGAACAGTTTTCACTGACCATAATCCTTTCATGCCGTCTGCCACCACTTCGTGTGCACACCACGTGCCAAGCTGCTCCAATACTCCACCAGGTTTCCGATCTTGTACTTGTGCGCCTGGGCCATCCCAAAGCTTGGCACGTCACACGTCGCAGAGAAAATAACATGTTGAGTGCGCCTGTCGCATTTTGTACCGCAACATGTTGTAGCTATGTAGCTGTGTTGCACTTGGAACCATAGAAACGTGCCTTCGTGTACACCAGACCGATCTTGCCTGGGCAAAGCATGAAACACAAACATATCCAACCTTCAAACCAAAACCCTAACATGGTTTTGACATGTTTTTACCAATAATTTGCAAAAGCGAGCACATATGTTTTCCAATTCCTCGCCATTTTCTGCTGTTTCTCTATCACTGAACTTAGAGCTGCTGCTGAGTCATAGTACTGAATCTGCTTCTGCAAGTCAAGAAAATGCAACTGTGCTTTCAAAACAAATGAGAAAACACTTCTCCCGAGCACATCGACAAGAAACTGAGATCATCCCGATTCTTGCAGCCAAGGTCAACTGCCTGGTGGGTCAAGATGTCACAACACAGATCGCAACAGCTCATTAAAGTTTATCCCCCAGCTATCTCCAGGTTAAAATAGATGATCGTATAAGCTATGATACATAGATGATTAGCTTGTCACGGTGACATGCCACCTTGTTGTGTGCTAAGCATTTCGAATGGCAAAACACAAGTGCGCATTGTTCTGGGTTTATTAAAAGAGAGTCGACAAATCGCAACTGATGAGCAAAAGAGAGTAGATGTAGATTGCGAGTAGAGCTTGCAACTGGTTTGCTTTAGTGTAGTCACAGGGGTCACATTGCGAGGCATCAAAGCCAAGGCCTCATTGTGGTGGACTTCCACGACCTCCGACTCCAGGTGCCGATATCCGTTCAAAATGTGTCGTTTGTGAACTCGTAAGCACTTCCTCTCTGTTGCAGTTTGAACAGAATTTGAAGTTCCAGAATGAAATCGGTTCACATAGAAACCCTGAGCCAAAAGATTGAATTGCATCTGCCTCTAAAGAATGAGTTCTTTGCTCAGGAATGCTTGGCCAAACCTGGAAGCAGTGTGCAAAACGAATTTGGAAGTGCAACAGCAAACAAATCATTGAAAATTTCTTGACAAAAATCTTTAAATCCTTTCCGTAGCCTGGCAGCCCTCGTCATCCAAATCCTGGGGACTGGTGCTTTTCTTGCGGCAGCCCTCACGTTTGTGGAACAAGATGCCCAAGACAAGTCCTCCAAAAGGTCGCTTGGCGACGGCGGTGCTGTCTCAGGTTGCCTGAAAGGCTGAAGCAGCGAAGCACTAAGTTACCGGTGAACGTGGCATGGCTAGGCTGATGGCTAGATGTCCCTGCCTATGGCCAGGTGGCTTGTCGGTTGGAGTTTTGCAATCTTCTGACCTCAAGTTCTACATTGAACCTTCACGGGTTCCAGGTGTTGAACTGATTTGAATCCGCGAATTGCATTGGTTCGAAATACAAATGCTGATCTCCAGAGCTGATTGATTTCGAGTCCCCAGAAATCAGGAATCAGTGGACTATGTTTTGCTCAGCAAACTTTACCAGTGAACTACACCGAAACTGTACCAGGCCTCTCTTTTTGCAGCGTGAGTTGGAAGCTCTGGCGTTCATCGGCCAGCCTGCAGGTGAGAGATGAGTCAGATGAGAATACAAAAGGTATCAAAAGGTCAGGAAGGCCTGGGAGGTGTCATTGGGAGCGCCCCAATTCTTTCGCGTTGTTCGATCGATTTGGCCACCTACAGCAGATGCCAAGACTTCACGACCCTGCAGACTGCTGACGTAAGATAAGGCGAGATGAAATAAGATATGGCTGCGCTTGCATGTCCTAGAGCAGAAACACTTGAGCAGGCGGATTCAAAGATGGTATTATAACCTGTCTGAGAATTTATCCTACGGAATCTTCGCCTATTGGCGTTGCTCTGAAGAGACTCTTCATCAACAACATTGTTGGTTCTAGCAGCTAAACCAATCTCTTTGTCTTCTTCACCTGGTTTGATGCCTGCCGAAAATGATGCTGGATCAACTTCAGGCTCCTCAGACGCACTTGACAAAGGTGGAACAACTTCGACATCGTCTGCAATGGCTGGAGTCAATGGTGCAAAGGCTGGTGTTTCAAGAACAGGAGCAGGAGTCTTTGACTCTGCTTCCTTCGATGCAGTAGATGATGCTATCTTCTCTGCTCGAACCAGGCCATTAAACCTTGCTCTGCAAATGGGAGTGTGTCTGCTATTTGGTGCTTCGAACCTGCATGCACGACAACCCTCAGTTGCTCCAAAACGGATGATGCGATCAAGGGTGATGTACTCGCTACGCTTGGTGGTTGTCTCAATTGAGATATTGGAGAAAGGCACATCTAGTGGGGTGATGTCGGCCAGAGCTGCATCAGTGAAGGTAGCCAGTGCTGTGTCTGCTGCTTGCTTCAACGGCAGGACTGGATCCTTCTCCTCAACATAGAGTTCTTCCATTGGGACAGCAATAGCCTTTCCATAAATGGCCTCCCTGTTCTTGACCTTCGCGTAGTCGATTGCATAATATACACCTTTGAAAGAGTTTGGACCTGCATCATATCTATATCCACAGAACAGCCCAGGTTTTGTGGAGGCATCGAACTTACCTCGCTGCAACGGATCTACGCGATAATGCACTAGCTGTCCAAGCAACAACATTCGACCAGAAAACTCGGCACCTATGGCTAGGAAATGCCTTGTCTGATCTTTACCTGAAGGCTTGTGCATGGCAGTGATGATTGTGGCAGCATAGTCAACGGAGTGAGTCCACAAACCAGGGATCAAGTCAAAACCTGCTTGGAGATGGCATGCACGGGCAATTTCTTCGATGGTTCTTAGATCCCTCTCTAAGACGGAGTTATGTGGGAACCTATTTTCGAGTGAACCCTCAAAAACACATCCAAGTTGCCTGCATGCAGCTCTTGTCTCTGGTGTTTGATCTGACTTAACCATCACTGAGGGCTGATCATACGGAGGTCCTAGGAAGGAAAGGATATTACCAACAACAGATGATGTATCTCTCCTAGCTAGGGGGAAAGCTCTTAGCCAACCACTGTGTTCATCT